TGGAACGCTGATGTGAATGGAAGTAGCAGAAGTGATGCACTGTATTCTTCCATGAATAGAAAATCCTGTATAAAGGGTGACTGAGGGGCTGTCAATAGCCAGGTCCCACACAGATGAAATGTTAGGAAGAAGGTGAAACCTAGCAACTGTACTTGTGTTCCCTTTCAGGGACGCACTGGATGCTGCTACCCTGCTTTATAATGAGGTGGATGAAGGTGTCCATCGGCTGGTGATGTTGTCAAACAAACGCATCCAGGAGCTGGAGCTAGTGATGGAGTTTGAGAGCTGTGAAGAATGTTTTAAGGAGGTAAGGCCAGTTTGTCTCTGGTATAATGAATAGCTGTGTGGTTACAATTTGAATGCATGTTTCAGAAAGGTTCTGTGTACTTGAGTTCTTGTCAGGCCTTGAATACATTGCATTTGGAACAATATATTAAGGGTCCCCAAAGGATGACCCACATCACTAAAACATTCCACAAACAACATAGCACTTCAGCACTCTTTTCCCATGAATAGGTGAGTGCTTCCCTACATGATTAACATTGTATTAGTTGATATTCCTGCCCTGGTAAGATGCATGTATTTGGGGACTGGTTTTCAGATGTGAGTACCAAGTCAAAAGGGAATCGTTATGCTCTGTACCTCTGAAAACCCATCCTTTAACTTCTAATTTGAAGGAGTTAACCTCAGCTAGTTTGCTCCTGATGTATACTGATCCACCTGAGAGAAGACTTAGGCCTTCACAGTCATCCTTGGTGAGTAGCACAACTGACCTGGCATCTTCTGGGAGTTCTCCATTCCACTCTCCTCTCCTCTGGAGATCTGGGGAGAACTGGTTTTATTTAGAGATGCAGCCAATCCCATAGTCCTGTGAGAAAAGGTGTATCCAGGGGTTGATGATTCTTAAAGATCCTTCCATTCAGAGGAAGACAAGTACTGTGCCCCTCTCCTTAGCGCAAGAAGCCTGAGTTTATACGACCAAACAGAATTCATAAACTGCACATAGACAGGTCCCCCAAACAGTTACCTTGATATTGTCTGCTGAGCTGCATTTGGAATTCAATTGAGTAAAAAGCTTAAGTCATCAGAGGGATGAGATTGCTCAAGACTGTGCTTTGTTTACAGCTCCCAGGTTTGGAATAGGACTTGGAAGTGCTGCCACCCTGCTGATTTTGCTGTGTTGTGTGAAACAGTGCTGAACTCCAGCAAAGAGAGTCAGTCCTTAGTCAAGTGACTTTATCCAGCTATACCTAAGAGTATGAATCCAGAACACTGGCAGTCATTGGCTTGTGACAAAAAGCCAGCAGGAGCTAGCCTGGACACTAGAGATTATATGAGGAGTTGTCTTCAAAAATAGAGAATGGTATTTTTAGCCCCCAAATAACCATGAAGTTTCCTTAAGGGGCAGGATGCCATTGATGTGCTCAGAGGGATACAAATGGTCCTCATCCTTCTGCCAGACATAATATGCCAGAGGGGAAGACCTGGCAGCAAATAGATCTTTTTTCCTTTTGGCAGCAAGGGCAGCAGAAACGTAGGACCAGCCTGAGATGTAGGGTGTTCACCAGACTGCAGTTCACTGAGAAGCTCAGAGACCAAGCAGCTACTTGCCTAATGCCATATGGTCAACAGTAGGGCTTAGCAATTATCCTTTAACCTGAAATGGAAAAAGTCTGTGCAGAAAGCAGAAGGTTTGCATGGAAAAGCCAAGACGTGGGGAGAACTGTTCACTCACATTCTTTCCAGTGATTAAATGATCAGCCTTTACCAGAGAAGCTCCCAGCTCTTTCCATACAAAAGCCAGCCTTGCAGAGGAGCAATGATTGGTTAATAGCACGGTTGTTTTTCCCCTTTTCTCTAGGTCAGCAGTTGGATTGAGAATGTTGGCAGGAAGCAGCTGAAGGAAATGATCAACTTGGATGATTCACTGGAGATATTACTTCAAACACAGAAACAGTTCAGGGAATTTGATCTTGTTGCCAGTGTAAGTTGTTTTCTCTTTGGAAAGATGTGCTTAACAGTACCCAAGTACAGAAGAGATCATGGCATGACATGACTGCCACAATAGGGCAGGTGTTAGCTGGGGAGGGCAGCCTGCCAGGAAGAATATATAGAATATGCTGACATGACTTCTGGGGATATGCCTGATAGTTCCCTCTGAACTAGGTTTACATATAGTGAGCTGCACGTCTGAGTGGAGACACTGTGTGCATCTCTAAGGCTAGAAATCGATAGAGGTGCACCGATACATTGGTCCGATATTGGATCAGTACCAATATAAAGAAAACTGGCTGTATCAGATATCGGCCTGATGGACCCGATAATTTGGCCGATAAATGCCCGTGCTGCGTGCAGCTGCCGTGCAGCACTCAGGCAGCATGGAGCACAGCCAGCAGTATGGAGAGCTGCCTCCAGCTGGTAAATCTGGTGTGGTGGAAGAGAACGGGGGAGGGAAAGGGAGTAGGTGGGAGGATCAATGCCTCTCCGTGGTGAGGGAAGGGGTAAAGGTAGGGCAGGTGCTTCCCAGGCGGGGTGGAGGGGGGCTGGAGCCACAGATCGCAGTGGGGGGAGGCGGTTCTCACCGCTGCTTGCACCCTGGGAGGGCATCGGAGTGGGGGGAGTGCGCCCTGGATTTGTGCGGGGTGGGCTGCAGCTGGGGCTGTGCGGGGCTCTTCTCAGCGGGGACTGGGCTTGGAGTGGGTGCCGGCAGTGCTGGGAGGATGCTGCATCCACTCCAAATTTCACCACTGCTCCACTCCCAGCACTGCCATCCCCAGCCGTCTGGCATAGCTCTGGCTTTTCCCAGCATGTGGGTGGAGGCAGGGCGTTGAGCTGGGGCTGCGCTGGGTGGTTGGTGGCGGCGGCATTGGGAATGGAGCAGCAGTGAAATTTGGGGTGGATGCAGCATCCTCGCAGTGCTGCCAGCACCCGCTCCAAGCCCACCCCTGCCAAGAAGAGCCCCGCGCTGCAGCCCGCCCACCCTGCCCCGTGCAGATCTGGGGGCACATATCTGCCTGGTGTCCTCCCGGGGTGCATGCAGCAGTGGGAGCCACCTCCCCCCCACAAATCGCAGCTCCAGCCCCCATCTGCCCTGCCTGGGCACTGCCTGCCCTTGCCCCTACCCCCTCCCTCACCACAGGGGGCATTGATCTGCGCCTCCCCACATGCCCCTTCCCTCCCCCTTCCACCACATGGACTTACCAGCTGGAGGCAGCTGTATCGGAAATCAGATTGGTATTGGCCAATATGCCTCCTTAAATATCGACTATCAGTATCAGCCCCAAAAATCTCTATCGGTGCACCCCTAGAAATTGATGTTCCCAAATAAAACAGATCAGCCATGCCAGGATTTGGTTTAGCTAGGGATGATCCTGCCTCATCAGGGTGTTGGACTGCATGACCTCCCAAGGTCCCTTCCAGCCCTACTTCTCTGATTCTATGATTCTCTATAATGTGTGCTGGCATGGCTGACCTACCTCATGGGGCAAGACACGTCGCCCGTTGTCCCACCTGTTAATTCTGTGGGACAATGGAGAATGTATTTCTGTGGTGCTTGAGGAGCTTGGTGCACCCTGGGAATTCCCACACAGAATTGGGCTTCTGTAACCCTGGGAGTGCCTTTTGAGCTTTCTCTGCTTATGGAGACATGTTCCAGAGATTCATAGATTCATAGATGTTAGCGTCGGAAGGGACCTCAGTAGGTCATCAAGTCTGACCCCCTGCCCTGGGCAGGAAAAAGCACTGGTGTCAGATGACCCCAGCGTAGAGCTTGTCCAGTATCCTCTTGAAGACCCCCAGGGTAGGGGAGAGCACCACCTACCTTGGAAGCCCATTCCAGGTTCTGGCAACCCTAACTGCGAAGAAGTTCTTTCTAACGTTCAGCCTAAATCTGCTTTCGAACAATTTGTGGCCATTGTTCCTAGTTACTCAAGGGGGTGCCCTAGTTAATAGAGCATCTCTTATTCCATGCTGCCGTCCCCTGATGAATTTATAGACAGCCAGAAGATCACTTCTCAGCCTTCTCTTGCAAAGGCTGAAGAGATCTAAGTCCCTCAGTCTCTACTTGTAGGGCCTTGCCTGCAGGCCTCTGACCATATGAGTGGCCCTCCTCTGAACCTTCTCAAGATTCTCCGCATCCCTCTTGAAGTGCAGCACTTAAAACAGGATGCAGTACTCCAACTGCGGCCTGACCAGTGCCACATAGAGAGGAAGCATCACCGCCCTGGACCTGTTCATCATGCATCTGCTAATGCATGATAAAGTGCGGTTAGCCTTGTTGATCACTTCATCACATTGACGATTCATGTTCATCTTGGAGTCAGTTATGACTTCAGGATCCCTTTCTGCTGCTGTGCTACTGAGAAGGTCATCCCCCAGCCTGTAAGTGTATTGGCGGTTCTTTTTGTCCAGGTGCAGCACTTTGCATTTGTCCTTGTTGAACTGCATCCTATTTCATTCTGCCTGTTTTTCCAACCTGTCCAGATCCACTTGGATCTGTTCCCTCCCCTCTGGTGTGTTAACTTTGCCTCATAATTTGGTATCACCTGCGAACTTGAACAGGGTGCTCTCCACGCCCTCATCCAAGTCACTGATGAAGATGTGGAATAGCACGGGTCCAGAGACCGAGCCTTGCGGAACTCCACTGCCCGCATCTTTCCAGGTCAATATTGACTTGTCCACCACTACTCTCTGGGTGCAACCCCCAAGCCAATTTGCCATCCACCTGACCGTGTAATCATCTACATCACAGCCTGTCAGTTTACTTACAAGAACAGAATGTGATACCCTATCAAAGGCTTTCTTAAAGTCTAGGTAAATGACATCTACCTCAACTCCTGTGTCTAGCATTTTGTGTCCTGGTCAGAAAAAGAAACAAGGGTAGTGTGGCAGGATCTATGTGCAGTGAACCTGATTTCCTTTTATCATTATTTCCCCTGCTGGGCTTCCACAAATGTGATCCTTAATGATTTTTCCAGAGTTTTCCCAAGGATAGAGGTGAAACTAACTGGCCTATAATTTCCGGGTTCCTCCCTCCTCCCCTTCTTGAAAATAGGGACTACATTTGCCCTTTTCCAGTCCTCTGGGATCTGACTGGAGCACTGTGAGTGCTCGAACAGCCGTGCCAGCGGCCCTGCTATGACACTAGCCAATTCCTTCAGCACCCTTGGATAAAGTTCATCTGGGCCTGCTGATTTGAACACATCCAGCCCCTCCAAGTACCCTTTCACCAAGTCTCTGCTAACAGTTGGCGGGCTGGTATCCCTCCTGTGTCTATCTATGATCCAACTGGGAGATTTGTCTTGGTCCATGTCTAGGAATACAGATGAAAAGAACTCATTGAAGGGCTCAGCTTTGTCCCCCCTCTCCATCACCAATTGCCCTAGTTTGTCCTGTAGGGTTCCTGTGCTACCCTGCGCCTTCCTTTTGCTCCCTATATACCTGAAGAAGGACTTTTTATTGTCCTTAATTTTTGTCACCAGCCTAAGTTTTAATCCTGCTTAGGCCTTCCTAACTGATTCCCTTCAAGTGCAAGCCAGGGAGGTATACTCCTTCTTGGTAGCAGCCCCCTGTTTCCACAGTCTGTATAACTCTTTCTTTGCCCTTAGGCTTTCCTGGACTTCCCTATTCAGCCAAGAGGGCTTCTTGGCCCCTTTTCCCCCTTCTGTTCGCAATGGGATTGTCTCCGTCTGCCCCTGTAGGACCGCTCCCTTGAAGAACAACCACCCTTTCGCCAATGCTCTTGTGCTTTAATGCCTCACTAACTAATCTCCTGAGCACACTGAAGTTAGCCTTTAAGAGATCTAGCACTTCAGCCATGCTATTTAGTTTACCCACCCTTCACCAGATAGTGAATTCAAGCAATCAATGGTCACTATCCCCTAGGTTACATTGTACCTGCAGATTCCCCACCTGGTCATCCCCTGTAGCTAACACCAACTCCAGCAAGGCGGTTCCCCTAGTGGGACCATATACCTCCTGCATTAGGTGGAGGTCCTGTATGCAGGTTAAGAACCTATGTGAGTGGGCAGATTTGGCTGACTGCTCCTCTCAGCAGATGTCAGGGTAGTTTAGGTCACCCATGACAACCATATCTCCCAACTGTACGGCCTCTGAGAGCTGTCTGGAGAATTCCAGGTCTAGCTCATCCTCCTGGTGTGGTGGTCTGTAGTAGACCCCCACTACCAAGTCCCTTTCCCCTTGACCCCCTTGTATCCTGGCCCACAGTACCTTGGTTTGGCCCTCCCCTGATCCCATCTTGATTATAGAGGATGTATATTGTTCCTTAACATAGAGAGCAGTACCCCCCAACCTTTTTCCCCACTTTATCCCATCTGTACAACCTGTAACCCTCAATGTCTACTGCCCAATCGTGAGTAGGGTCCCACCAGGTTTCAGCTAGTCCAGCCAGGTTGAAGTTGTTGCTTGCAAGGAAGAGTGAAAGTTCTTCCTGCTTGTTCCCCATGCTCCTAGCATTATTGTAGAGATATTTAAGCCCCACAATGCGTGCCCTTCGTACCCCCCTGTCCTGATGTCTGTTGGGCCCCTTAGTGCTTACCTTAGTGCTAACCTGGGCTGATCCAGTGCAGGTAAGCACTAAAGTAAGCACTAAGGGGCCTGATAGACATCAGGATGGGGGGGTACCAAATCCTGGGGGAACATCTTGGCAAGGAGGTGAAAGCTGGGCATGCACTTTTGAGACCTAAAGGGACCTGCACAGAGTTCCTAAGGTGCACAAGACTGGGTGCCTCAAGCCCCTGGAGCACCTACACAGAGCAGCTGGAGAGCATGGGCACTCAGGCTGCCCACCCTCTTGTGCTATGAAGTAAATGGATGTCAAATAGCAAACATATTAAATATGCATGGCTGGTAAAGCAAACAAAACCCTGGCTTGCATCTATAGATGCTTCTCAAGTAAATCTCAGGATGTTATCCTCCCACTGTACTTGGCCTTGGTGAGGCCGCAGCTGGAGTACTGCATCCAATTCTGGGCTCCGCAATTCAAGAAGGATGTCTTGAGAGAGTCCAGAGGAGAGCCACATGCATGATGACAGGGCAAGAGAATAGGCCTTATGAAGAGAGGTTGAAAGCCATGGAACTCTTCAGTCTGGAAAAGCGCAGGTTCAGGGGCGACCTGGTGGCTGCCTATAAGTACACAAGGGGTGTTCATCAGGATCTGGGAGAACATCTGTTCACTAGAGCGCCTCAGAGAAAAACAAGGACCAATGGTCATAAACTCCTACAAGACCATTTTAGGCTGGACATAAGAAAAAATTTCTTTACTGTCCAAGCCCCCAAGGCCTGGAATAGACTCCCTCCAGATGTGGTGCAGGCACCTACTCTGGACTTATTCAAGAAACGCTTGGATGCTTATCTTGCTGGGGTCCTTTGACCCTAGCTGAGTTCCTGCCCCTGGGGCAGGGGAGCTGGACTTGATGATCTTCAAGGTCCCTTCCAGCCCTAATGTCTATGAAATCTATGAAATGCTAAATACCAGTATAAATTGATACTACCTTTTGTCATGGCCACAAATTTGGGGCATTTTTTGGTGCAACAAAACATATGGACGTCTGTGTGCTTGGCCTTTGTGGTGCTGTAAAAATTTTTACGGCAGCACAAGGCAATGAAAAGCTATTTCCACCTTAAGAGGACCTGAGATGCTGTGCTATTGCCCCTTAAATGCCTGTGGACCAGCATGGGCTTCAGTGCTCTGCAGACTTAGGCTGAGGACTTTGCTGAACATATATGTCAGAGGGAGATCTAAAATCATTCTTCTCCAGGTGCCATGCACATCATCTAGACCAGGGGTTGGCAACCCCTGGCATGCATGCCGAACGTGGCACGCGAGGACATTTTGCTTGGCACGCCACAGCCAGCCCCGGCTCTGGGTAGCTGCTGCCAGCGACGGAGCCTGGACTGCTCCCAGCAGGGCTTGCAGTGTCTCAGTGTGTCCCGGGCTGCTCCCAGCAGGCAGCAGCTCCCCAGAGCCAGGGCCAGCTGCAGCCAAGAGGCTCCAAACAGCTGTGCTGGGCTCCGGCATCAGCTCTGCACTGGCACGTGCATGTGCACCTCAGAACGGGCAGTGGGGGAGGGGCCTGAGGCAGCACAACCCTGGTCTCTCCCCCCACTCCCGGCATGGAGGTGATGAGCCTGGTGCAGCTGTTCATAGCCAGCCCAGACTCTGGGCAGCTGCAGCAAGCAGGGGGCAGGTTGCAAACAGCTGCGCCAGGGTCCACAGCTGTAGCATCAGCTCCGTGCTGGTGGCGACTGCGTGTGCACCTCGGGGCGGACAGCGGGGCAGTGCAGCCTGCCCCAAGGTGCCCGTGCAGTCCTGTTTTTTAAGACCATATTAAAAAAGACCGGACTGCCTCCCTGCCAAACCCAGAACCACTGCCAAGAAACAAGCCCTTTCCACTCACTCAGATTCCACCCATACCTGAATCTGGCAACTAGATGGAGGGTCCTGAGCACATGTCTAAAAAGAGCCTAGTGGCTGTGCTGAGGTGTATGCTTAACACCCCTCTGATTCCTCTGCTCTCCTTAACTGGCAGAGGTGGATCAAGTGGCCAAGGTGGGTCAGCAATGGCCTATGCTTAGCAGGGATGTGAAATCATAGAATCATCAAGAAGTAAGGTTGGAAGGAACCTCCAGAAGTCATGTAGTCCAACCCCCTGCCTTTGGCAGGATTATCCCTATCCCAACCATGCTATACAAACCATAATTTAAACTACATAAGACTATTATCAACCTTGACACAACACAGACCTAACACCCTAACCCGCCACAGGTAAGCCAGGGGAACAATGGCAGCCAAATAAACATGGCCTAGTTCATCACTTCCTCTGGGTAAATCCACCTAAAAGCCCCTAGTTCCAGGCCACCTACCCCTAGCTGAGTGGGGAAGTCACATATCTCCTCATGAGAGCCCGGCCTGGAGCAAGAATTATTTAAAATATACTCCTGACCTCGTGGTGGACCCTTGGATCTCACTTCAGATTCTCAAAATAGTTCATTTTCTTTGATCCTAAGTAGCTTTTTGTCTTATCGTGTAGGCCCTTTAATGCTAAGGCTACAGAGTCCCTGTATCTAACCTGACTCTCACAATATAGTGGTTCCCTGTAATGATGATTATGCAGAGGGGCACCATTTTGTGAATTCTGTAGCATGCTAGAGTTAAGATCCAGTCTAGTTAGCCAGAACCAGTGCCAGACATTTTGGAGTGCTGCTCAGAGTATCTGTTTGCAGGTCTCCACTGCACCACCATAACCAAAATTTTGCTTTTTGCTTTCAGGAATGTTGTAGAAGGGGGCAGGAAGTGCTGAAGAAACTGAACAGGTGGGAAGACTTTTCCTCTAAAGACCTTCACATTTATGGGGTTAAGCTGCAAGCATATAGAAATCGATTGGAGGAATTCTGCACCCACCTGGATGAAAGCAGGAGTCGGATTAGTGAGACAGTCAGGCTGTATGAATTCTTTGACAAGGTAAGGAGTGAAATGTATGTGTGTGTGTGCATCTACAATGCAAAGCAACTGTGCCAAGCAACAGCATCTCAAATACTGCACTGCTCTATGCAGGCTATTTCCTGAACTGGAACCTTTGTACCTCAGAGACAAAGCATGGAAAAAACGTGCCTGGCCAGCTGTCTCTCACCCTTAGGCAATGCCCAGGGCACATGCCCC